GGACTGACTCAGATGAGATACTACCCCTGGACCCAGGACTGACCAGAGAAACCCCACCCTGGACTGGGGACCAACTAGAGGTACCCCAGCCTGGGCCCAAGACTGACTTAGGCAGGACCCCAGCCCTGGACAAGGGAACTGACTAGAGATACTCTACTCTAGTCCTAGGGCTGAGCCATACAGGATCCCAACATTGGACCTCGCACTGACCAGAGACCCTCGGCTTGCTGAATCAGGCAGGACTCCAGCCTTGAAGCAGGACTGACCAGAGAGTCCCTACACTAGACCTAGGACTCACTCAGGTAGGACACTGAACTGATCCAGACAGGACTCTGGACCTGGGATGATCTAGGGAAGATGTGTCCCTGAACCTGGGACTGACTCAACTAGGACCCTGCCCTGGAACTGGAAAAAGTGACAAGAATCAGGTCAAAGGGGAGGGTCTCAGATCTGCCTGCCTGGGGCATGTGACTCCATGTGCTTACTGTATCTTATTGGATTGTTTAGTTTTCTAAAGCTGTGAATTGGTGCTAACCATTATTATTCTTCAAGCTTGTTGCTGGCCAGTCTCTGTTCCCTCTTCAGTTTCTTGGTCTGTAGGAGTTTTGGCCCATCATTCAACCACTTGAGTTTAGGGATTAGATAGCTGTATGTAGGTTTACATATGTGGGGACTCATCAGTCTGAGGTTGTATTCTACTTTTGTTTGTTCACTTTAGAAATTAAAACCTAGGGCAGGGTTGTGGCTCAGCGGTAGAGCGCTCACCTAGCATGGGCGAGGCCCTGGGTTCAATCTCCAGCACCACATAAAAATAAACAAATAAAGATATTATGTTCAACTACAAACTAAAAAAAAAAAAAAGATGAAATTAAAAACTAGGATTATATGTTAAGATGACTTCCTATTCTCAAAAGTATCACCAGTAATTTTCATATTGCACTATTTATAGCAATGCAAGTTATGTTTTAAATTTTTATGGCTTTTTTATTTTTTTTTATTTATTTTTTTTGTTTTGTTTTAATTTTTTTTATTGGTTGTTCACAACATTACAAAGCTCTTGACATATCATATTTCATACATTAGATTGAAGTGGGTTATGAACTCTCATGGCTTTTTTATTAGAGCATTATAATTGTACATAGTATTTGGGCTCATTTTGACAAAACAATACATACAAGCAATTTGATTTACATCCCCATTTTCCCCCTTTCCCTTCCCTCCTCCTTTTCCCATTCTCTCCTCTTTTACTGATCTTCCTGTCATTCCTAAAGTAAGGGGTTCTGTTGCAAATATGTTCCATCATTTGCTATTCCTTCATCTTTAGGTGACATATTTAGAGTAGGGCGTGGCTAGCAGTGGTGTAAATGTAAATAGGATTGATTGGGGAACCATATGCAGGAAGGAGGGTGCAGGGAGTCCCCCTGAGCTCTAATCCACAGGGGCAGGGAGGAGGGCGCTGAGGTTGGGCATGCCTAATGCACATCTAAACAAGTTTCCAGGTGTCCCCAGAGCCACCTGGTCCTCACTTGGAATAACAAGCTCATGCTGAATAATAAGAGACTGTAGGTAGGATCCTCCTGTTGGGAAAATGACCCTTTAGAAAGGAAGAATCTTCAGAATTCATCATTGGGGACCAACCTGTTCTGCTGTTGAGTTAACTCAGATCTACCTGAGCTGGCTTCTCAACCCTAAAAGGGATAGGAGGTGAGCTTCTTTGGGCCATTTGAATTTGTTCTTTCCTTAGTTGGTAACTTCATTAACAACTGATAATGACATTATTGATATTATGTTGATAATATCCTCAGAGAAGAAAACATTTTTCAGATTATGCATTTTGTATTCTTAGAAACTATCTACCATAGGTGGTACAGGAATTTAATACCAAATTAAATCCTGTAGGAAAAGATACATTTGCAAATG